AAACGATTATAGTATCTTGTAGAATTATCTTTAAGAGCACCTGCTGAGTCATGAAGTAAAAAAAGAACAAGTAAATGTGCAGAAGCTTGTGATGGGTCTGAGTGAATGAAAATGACAGCTTCTTGAGCCATTAGTAGAGGGCACCAAGTGACCGTGTCCGTGTCTTTTTTCCTCACTGAATCCACACACCCTTCCTGAGCTCTAAACTTGGAGCTGACCTCTGGCAGGAGACCCAGACAAGCTCCTGGCTCTTGGCTTCAGTTCGGTGCCGCTCCAGCAGTTGGGGCCATAGGGGAGTGGATCATTGGATGGAGAATCTTCCTGTCTGTCTCTCCTCCTTTCTCTGTATATCTGCCTTTGCAATAAAAATAAATAAATCTTAAAAAGCAGCACACCATGTTACTACAGTGATGGGCTTTCTCTTTTAAGGGGGCACCTGGGCTGCTCTTGGGTCCTTATAGGGAAATAAAAGGATGAGATTCGGGATCATGAGCTTTCTGATTACCAGGGGTGGGGGACCAGCCAGGCATCACCCCAGAAGCAAAAGTTTCTTACTTCAATAAGCAGGTGACATAAAAGTGCTTTACTTTGAAGGAAATCTGGGAAAGGGTTTTGAAAAGATGTGGTTATTTGAAAAATTTACACAGATATACATATGCACAGAGAAGGAGAGACAGATAAAGATCTTCCATCCACTACTAGAATTTCCGAATGCGTGCAGAGGCCAGGGATGAGCCAGCTCAACCCAGGAGCCAGGAACGCAGTCCAGGTGTCCGGTGTGGGCGGCAGGGACTCGAGCACTCGAGTCATGATCTGCTGCCTTTTCCTGTTGCTGTAAGTAGGAAGCCAGGTGCTCAGATAGCGTCGTAGGCACTGCCAAACTCCCACCCGGGAAGGTACTTTGAGTTTTCTCTGAAAACTACTTGTCTCTGCTATCCAGGGCTTGTGTAATCAACTCACATCGCTGGATTTTATTTCAAAGAACATGTGTGGTAGCCAAAGGTATATATAGTATAAATCATCTCTTCTCTCTGACCACACTCCACTATTGTGAGCCATCTGTGGTTTCCCACCTTTCAACTTCCCTGGATTCCTGTAAGAGCCTCGATCAGCTTGTTGTTTCTGCTGTAATACATTATGACAGATTTAGTGCCTTAAAACAGCAGAAGTTTATCAAAATCTGATGTGTAATTCTGAAAGTCGGAGCCCACGATCTGCCCGCGAGGCTTGAAGTCAAGGCATTGTCAGGGCTGTGTTCCTTTTGCAGGCTTTAGGGGAAAGAGGCCTAAGACCCTGCAACTTCCAGGCTTTCCCAGACCTCTCCTCTTGTCACATCAACTTTGGCCCTGATCTTCTCGTATCCCTTCTAATTATACTGGATCCACTTGGCTCATGCAGGATAATATCCACCTGCATTTAACCACAGCCACAACATCCCTTTGGACATGAAAGGTAACATTTTACCAGGCCCAGGGATAAACATGTGGACATGCTTGCTTGGGGGTGGCCTCCTGTCACCTGGCCTGTGTTTTCACCACTTCCCTAACACTCAGGGCTACCGTGCACTGAGTCACATGCTTTTCTGGCTGCCCACTCTGACCCATTGGTCACCTCTGCTGTCCTTACTGCTGGGCCAGCTTAAGACCAATCCCTCCATTTGGTTCTCCTGACCCATGAGCACAGGAATGCCACATCTTCTCTGACCTAAACCAGTGGATTCCTTTCTTTTCTCTTTCCTCTTTCCTCACCTCCTGGAAGTTCATATGCCAGATACTCCCAACTCCAACCTTAGCTTCCGTGTCACCCTTGATGTGTCTGCTCTCCCTTCCTGGGTATCATCACACGGTGGTATCAAGGGTGGAAGAAGTATAGGGATGGTTTGATACACGGCACCCCACATTCCTGCTGCCTGGCACACACAACTCCCCACACGGTTGCCTTTTCTCAGAGTGTGCAGGGCTCTGTGAGCTCCCTGGTGAGGCCCCTCTGGACAGATACCGTGTCCAGAGCCACATTCTCTCACACTGTCATCACACCTGCTTTCACTCTTCTGGCTCAAGACCCAAAAAACAAGATCATCCTTTTTGAAAGCAGTCCTGGAGCCCTGCTCTCAAGTACAGAAAGACAAGGAGAGAGGAGATGGATTTCCCTGGAGGTACACCCTGGCTCCTGGCTTCAGGGGTAGGAACCCCACCTACACACTTGACCCTGAAGGAAAGGTAAACTAGCCCCTGTAATTTTAACACCTGCAGGAGAGACAAAAGAAAAAAACTAAAGGGCCAGCGTGCAGTACTACTTCTTATGAATTACCTGGACTTTGTTTTCACCACTGCTTTATTGACTACATAATCAAGCTCAGGGACCCAGCTCTGCTCTGTGCTGCAGCATCGGGGGGCGGGGGGGGGGGGTCTGAGTCAGGAGCTGCCAGCAAGGAGGACTCCTTGCCGAAGAGGCCTGCTCAGCGCCTCAAAGCTTAGTCCTCAGTGCCGTAACCCAAGTCTGAGACTGGGTTCTTTCTTGAAGTAGAAAGATTGAGATGTGGCCCAACAGCTAGAAGCTTTGGGGCATCTGCAGATGCAACTCACTTTCTCTACATAGTTGTTCTCCTCCCTGCATATTCATATGCATATGCATATTCATTCTCTCTCCCCCCACTCCCTCCCTCCCTGGGGTGTGTGTGTGTGGTCCCACCCACCACTTAGTTGCTTATCATCAGCCTGGAGCTGGTGAAAGAAGACAGCACCATAGTCATCGCTTTCAACCAGCGGTTAGTAACAGAGATAGGAATAAAGCCAGATCAGAGCCCTGGTCTTCTGAGTCCAATTCCGTACTCTTCTATTCTCCTATGTCTCCTTTAGGAACGGAAGCAAAGGAGGCTCTGGCAGTCCCCCAGCACTGACTTTCACTTCCCTAAAGTAGCCTAAGGGATGGGGCTGGCAATGTAGCAATGTGTTGAGGCACTGTTTGCAATACCCACATCTCTCATACTAGTGTGCCAGTTCGAGCCCTGGTTACTCCACTTCAGTCCAGGTCCCTGATGATGTAGTGGGAGATGGGAAGACAGCATAAGATGGTCCATGTACTTGGGTGCATAACACTCACGTGGGAGACCCAGATGGAGATGTAGGATTTTGACTTTGGCCTGGCCCAGTGCCAGCTCTTATAGCCATCTAAGGAGTAAACTAGTGGATGGAAACTGTCTACCTTTTAAATCAGTTAATTTTTCATTTTTTAAATGTTACTTATTTGAAAGAGTTGTGATAGGTAGATGAGTGGGGGAGAGACAGGTTCATTCCTCTAGTGGTTGCAATGCCTGGGGCTGGGCCAGGCTGAAACCAGGAGCCTGGTACTCCATCTGGGTCTGCCGCATAAGTAGCAGAAGCCCAAGTTTGGAATACCTAGGAAGCTGAATCAGAAACAGAACTGCCAGGACTTGAACGGGTGCTCACATGGGATGTGAGCATTGCAGGTTGCAGCTTAACCTGCTGTGCCATGACACTGACCCCCATAAGTAAATATTAACAAATAAATAGATATGGGACTGGTACAGTGCCATAGCAAGCAAATTCTCTGCCTGTGGTGCCAGCATCCCATATTGGTGCCAGCATCCCATATAGGTACCAGCTTGAATTCCAGCTGCTCCGCTTCTGATACAGCTCCCTGCTTATGAACTGGAAAAAGCAGCAGATGATGATGGCTAAAGGGGCTCCTGCACCATAGGAAACTCAGAGGTAACTCCTGAATCCCAGCTTTGGATCAGCCCAGCTCTGGCTATTCCAACCATTTTGAGTGAAGTAGCAGATGGAAGATTAAGGAAGATTCTCTCTCTGTAACTCTTTCAAGTAGAAACAATAGACAAATCTTCTTAAAAATATTAACAGCCCAAAAGTTCCCATGGAAGATTTCCCTTGTTCTGCACAGCCTCCACCCAGACGCAAGCCAATCAGTGGCCTCTTTGAAGAGGGAGTTATCCTTTGGGTGTGGGAAAAGCCTATCACAGCTGCCCAGAAAGGAGTGACCTTTCAGGCCAGTCCACTGGGTAGGATGTTCTAGAAGCAACTCAAGTGACCAGCACCCAGGCTCCATGATTTTGTTATGCCACCCATGGCATCTCTTGGCCGCGATGTTCAGAATCACTGTCCTGGTGAGCTGGGCTCCTTGGCGTTTTCAGTTTAGCGCCATGCTCCTCTGAACCTGTGAGACAGTCCCTCGTGGCTTCAGCAACCTCTCTAGCTTTTCCTCTATTTTTCTAGTCACTTTAACGACGAGAAGTCCCACCTTCTGAGCCCTTATGACTGCTATACTCTGCTTCCTTTTTCTTGCTTCTTAACCAATGCCCTTCTCTTCCAACATTTGATGGAAGCATTACCGCCTCTCTAGGGAGCCCCTAACTTGCCCTCCTCTATGCCCCAGAAGACTTGATCTCCCATCCTCCCCTTTCTAATTTCTCTCCTACCCCCCAACGCCCAGACTGGGCACTGCTTGTGTGAGGGTGTCTATCAAGCGGTGCCTGCCGGCTGCAGTGGCCAACCTGGCCTCAGACCCCAGTGAATGCCCGAGGGAGGTACTCCTGAGGCCCTGAAACTCCTCGGGGAGGCCTGGCATGCTGTGGTTGCCTGAACTCGGGGCTAAGTAAAGAAACAGCGTCTAGAGCTGCTGGCAGCTCTGCCTCCCTCCCGGGATTCTGCAAGGAAACTTCTAGTGCCTGACTTAAGTGTAGGGGCTCAGGCAAAACTCCCTCTTCTGCCAAGAAGCAGAGGAAGAAAACTGGCCCAGAGGAGGGGCAGGAGCAGAGGAGAAGGAGGGGCCCCACCTGGAGCCAGCTTCAATTAGGACTAAGGGATCAGGATGGCGGTGAGGGTGGGGTACTGGTGGCGAGCCCGAGCTCTGCCCCCACCACCTCCCGCCAGAATGGACCAGACCCCAGGGACGTCACAGTTGCCAGTGGTTGCCGGGCAGTGCGGAGCGCAGTGCGGGGCAGTGCGGGGGAGTGCGGACTCATTTCTACCCCCGGAGCTCTTTGGGAGAAGGCGAGGACGGACGCCAGATGGCGACGAAGAGCGGCCCTAGCCCCAAGCCCATGGGCGCGGCCCAGGGCGACCCGGGAGAGGCGGGCACCCTGCCCAGCCCCGACGCCGGCCTGCGGGACGCAGGTTCGGCTGCTCAGCTGAAGTTGAAGCCAAGGAAAGTGCGCAAGATCAAGGCGCTCATCATCGACCTGGGCTCGCAGTACTGCAAGTGCGGCTACGCCGGCGAGCCGAGACCCACCTACTTCATCTCCTCCACGGTGGGCAAGCGCTGCCCCGAGGCGGCCAACGATGCGGGCGACACCCGCAAGGACACCTACGTGGGCCACGAGCTGCTCACCACCGAGGCGCCCCTCAAGCTGGTGAACCCGCTGAAGCACGGTGTGGTGGTCGACTGGGACTGCGTGCAGAACATCTGGGAGTACATCTTCCACACGGCCATGAAGATCCTGCCCGAGGAGCACGCTGTGCTGGTGTCGGACCCGCCGCTCAGCCCGAGCAGCCACCGCGAGAAGTACGCTGAGCTCATGTTTGAGACCTTTCGCATCCCGGCCATGCACGTGACGTCGCAGGCGCTGCTGTCCATCTACTCGTATGGCAAGACGTCGGGGCTGGTGGTGGAGAGCGGCCACGGCGTGTCGCACGTGGTGCCCATCTCCGAGGGCGACCTGCTGCCGGGCCTGAGTAGCCGCGCCGACTATGCGGGCAGCGCACTCACCAGCTACCTGATGCAGCTGCTCAACGAGGCGGGTCACCACTTCACCGATGACCACCTGCACATCGTGGAGCACATCAAAAAGAAGTGCTGCTACGCGGCGCTGCTGCCCGAGGAGGAGCTCAGCCTGGGCCTCGACGACCTGCGCGTCGACTACGAGCTGCCGGATGGCAAGCTCATCACCATCGGCCAGGAGCGCTTCCGCTGCTCCGAGCTGCTCTTCAAGCCCTCGCTGGTGGGCTGCGAGCAGCCGGGCCTGGCCGCGCTCACCACCGCCTGCCTGGACCGCTGCCAGAAGGCCGGCTTCAGGGAAGAGATGGCGGCCAACGTGCTGCTGTGTGGCGGCAGCACCATGCTCGATGGCTTCCCCGAGCGCTTCCAGCGGGAGCTCAGCCTCCTCTGTCCTGGTGACAGCCCCGCCGTGGCCGCCGCCCCCGAGAGGAAGACCTCCGTGTGGACCGGAGGCTCCATCCTGGCTTCGCTGCAGGCCTTCCAGCAGCTGTGGGTCAGCAAGGAGGAGTTCGAGGAGCGGGGCAGCGCTGCCATCTACAGCAAGTGCTGAGGGGCGGGCCCTGGCCGCTGTAGGCGCATTTACTGCATTTCACATAAAACTGCTAGCTAGCAGTGCCTCTAGAAACGTCTGAATTTCTTCCGGTCCGGCTGATGTGTGGGAGGAGCTGGGTGGGGGAGGGGAGAGTCGGAGCAGGTGGAGTGGCGGAGGCTGGAGGTCATTAGCTCCTTTGGCTCTGCGGAGGGGGAGGGAGAAAAGAGGGAGGGTAGGAGTGTGGACCCCCCCACCCCTCCCAGGCCTTAATGCTCACCCCATGTCACCAGGGTGACATCCAGATGTGGCTTCCTGTCCAGTGTTCTCCTCCTGTCTGCTGAGACACTGCCCCATACTCTCCCAGCCCCCTGTGGGGCAGTGGCCCAGGCTAAGGACCAGTCTGGGATACACAGCTTAAGTGCTGATTTAAGGGAGATTCGCAACCAAGCTTCCACTGTCTGTGACCCAGGTCTACTGCTCACCTGGATGCCCCAGTCAGCTCCTTCCCTGTGTGTGTATGTGTGTGCACCCTATGACTGTGAAAAGCCATTTCTGCCCCATTTTGAGTCAGCCCAGAACCGCCACGATTCTTTGAGTCACAGTGAAGAACAACCGTATCCAGAAGTTGGCAGATCCCTGAGGGATCCCGGGGTCCTCCGTCTGCTGCAGATCAGAAAACCAGCTCCCGTAGAGGCGGAGGGGAGGTGGAGGAGGAGCAGCTGGAGGCCAGCACTGGAACCACACAGTCAACATGGTTCTGATTTGTCAGCAGCCCAAAGTACTTGCCAAGCAGCTACCTTGGACCAGGCTGGAACACAGTCAGTTCCCTAAGGACAGCTGCTCTCCTCCCATCCCCCTGGGTGGGGCGGTGGGAAGGTGGAGGGGGTGTGCTGGGCACTGGGGCAGAGGAGGGAGAAGCTGTTAAGGCTTGGGAGGATTTAGCAGGTGAACCACTCTCTATAAGTTCCTGCTCCTTCCCCTCTCCCTCCTGCTGGTGGAGCCCATGACCCAGTGCCTACCTCTCTAGGAGTTGGACAGTGGTAGGCTGCATACTACTCTGCCTGGGCTGAAATTTCAGGTGTAAGTATCTCTCTTGAATGTCAAGTTCCCGTAGGGTGGAGAGGAGTGGGGGGATACTCAGGTACCACCTCACTGAGTTTCAAGGCCACCCTCTGCTTCACCACACCTTCAGCTTAATTAGCATTAGCTTCTATTATTGGCAACACAAGAAACTGACAGCAATTGACCATAAAAACCTGTAGAGATACAGGGAGGGAAACTGGGGGTTCTACAAGGCGTAAGATGCGATGTGACCTGAATCACAAGCAAGAAGCTAGCGCTCAAGATGGGAAACCATGTCTGGGCTTGAGTCCACCATGTCCTGTATCATCGCCCACTCCACACCTCCCACAGCGTCTGCCCCTCAGGTCCCAGCCTCAGTGTTCTTCCCACTGGGCAGCCCCTCCGAAAGCATTCCAGGGGCTGTAAAGAATTCAGTCCTTAACATGAACTTATTTCAGCCAGTCGCAGGCACAGTGAGACAATTGATGCAAGCATATAACTCAAACTGCAAATGACGAGAGTGGCTGGGGGATTGCAGGGAGCTGCAGAGCTCCCCCAGATCCTGGATCGAACATGGAAGCAGAAGAGAGGCAAGACAGGAAGACTTGAGGCCCAAGTGTACCAGGCTCCTCCCGCAGAGCAGGGCCACTTCCTGTCCTGCAGAATGGCCGAGGTTTGTGACCTGGCAGTGCCCCAAGGGAGGGCTATGGGAGTGCAGCCTATAAGCCTGCAGAGGCGCTGGGAAGGAGGCGTGGCAGAGTGTCTGGAAGCACAGTGCCCTCCTGAACTGTAGGGGTAGTGTGGGTGAGCATAGGACCAGCCTCTGAGTGCGCATGTCCCAGAGCCAAGTTAGAGAAGTCTGTCTGAAGGTGGTTTAACCCAGGGAGATGGAAGAGGGCAGGATGTGAAGGGCAGATCGTGAACCCTGCCAGGGGGAGATACAGAACAGCTGATTAATGGTTTCTAATTAATGGTACATAGAACTCCTTTTTACAAGGATTTGCTTTTACTTGAAAGAGTAATATATTCCTGGGTCTGGCACCATAACCTACTGGTTAAAGTCCTCACCTTGAACACGCTGGATTCCCATATGGGCTCTTCAGACCAATTCAGCTGCGGCCATTGCAGCCATTGGGAGAACCAGCAGATGAAAGATCTTTCTCTCTGTAAATCTGTCTTTAAATAAAAATGTACATTTAGTATTTACAAAAAAAAAAAAAAAAGAAAGAAAGCAGTGAACTGGGCCTGGCACCATGAATAGATTGACTAACCCTCTCTGCTCAAATACCACAATCCCATATGGACACCAGTTCATGTCCCAGCTGCTCCACTTACCATCCAGCTCCCTTCTTGTGTCCCAAAAACCTTGGGGACCCTGCACCCACGTGGGAAACCTGGCTCCTGGCTCCTGGTTTTGGATCAGCTCTGCTCCAGCTGTGTGGCCATTTGGGGACTGAACGAGCAAATGAAAGATCTTTCTTTCTATCCTTCGTTCTCTCTGCAGATCTGCCTTTCCAATAAAAAAAACCTTTATATATATGTGTATATATATATATGCAAAGGCTATACACACACACACACACACACACACACACACATAGCCTTTGCATATTTACCCAGCAGGTTTTTCACTTTTTATTTAAAAGGCAGAGTTACAGAGAGAAGGAGACACCGGGAGAGATTTTTATCTCCTTAATGTCTGGAGCTAGGCTGATCCAAAGTCAAGAGCCAGGTGCTTCTTCCAGATTTCCCATGTGGTTGCAGGGGCCCAAGTAATTGAGTCTTCTTCTGCTGCTTTCCCAGACACATTACCATGGAGCTAGACCAGAAGCAGAGCTATCAGAACTTGAAACAGTGCCCATATGGGATGTCAGCATTGCAGGTAGAGGCTTAACCTGCTAGGCCAGATTTGGTAAGTTGTTACTATTGGTGAAAACTGGCTGTATTAATTCTTATAGTTGCATGCCAATCTATAAATACCTAACTTCATTTAAAAACCTTAAAAGCATGAAGAGAATGGGGAATTCATATATACTAAGAATAAATGCCTTACACTGAAACTTGCCTTAGACCAGTTACATAAAACTCCCCGGAGGAGTGGAGACTAGGCGGTAGAGTTTATTTTGAAGTTGCCCAGATGGTTTCAGTGAGTACCCAAGTTTGAGAGCCAGTCCCTTAACCAACTGGGTGGAGCATGCAGAATGAATGTAGGAGGCTCTGGGCAACACTGGGGTTACATAGATGAGGTTACCCCAGCTGTGTGGTCCTGGGCTGGCCATCTGACCTTACATGGCCTCAGGCTTTCTTTTGTAAATTGATGTCCTTTCTTCCCAAGTCTGTTTTAAAGATCAAGGAGAAAATCTAAATGAACATTTAATAAATTATAAAGTGCAACAAGAGTGCTCTAATCAACATGTAATGCCTATTGTACTTTTACGCTGTGTGTGTGCTTTCAGACACACATAGAATGCCCACAGCATATGCGAGGGTTTATGTGCTGTTTCCTCTTGGTGTGGGAGCCTGGGACATGAGTGCAAAGAATGGCCCGACCTTGGTCCATCCATGCCCTCGGTGTCAAAGTAAGAACAAATCCTAGAGAGTTGGCCTTGGATCTGGAGGAAGAGGTCTCCCAGTTCTTGTCTTGACTGACAGAGCCCAGGAACTCAGGTGACTCTTACAATCCATATATACCTCTGATCCCAATAGTCCCGGGTGACCATGTATGTCACAGGTAATAGTATCAGTTTTCTAATTGACATGGGAGCCACTTACTCTGAGTTCCCTTGCAGGATCCCAACTCTGAAAGAGCTATGTCATCATGGAGTTGACGTCAAGCCCTGACTTTTGAAGTCTTGCCTTGCTTCTGATGTGCCAGATAGAAGATGTACTAGAACCTTCAAACTGGGCAGAGGTCAAAGAGTTGGTATTTACGCATATTCCAGACACGCTTCCCAGTGCTACACATGCATGCGGCAGTTTGGAGATGAAGCAACTACGGGACTGTGGAAAGCTCTCCCATGAAGCACTGGGAAGATTGTAGCTCTCCTGTAGGCAGTTTTGGGGCCTTTGGAAGTCGCTGTTGTCTTTACGGGGAACATCAAGACAGGAACAAGCACGCCATCAAGGAAATGCACTGCCAGATAGGGCAGTAAAGTACACTGCCACTCAGGGGCTTCTGAAAATGATGCAGTCTGCTTTGAATCCCTACGACGCCACACGGGAGATAGACTGGGCCGAGCAGCAGTTACAGTAAATATTCCAATTTGTAGCATCAAAAATGATGCTACTGAGGGCCTCTCACTGGAGAATCTTACATATATACATGTAGACATACAGATACACATACATACATACATATAATAATACATGATTCCATTTGGGGAAAGAGGCACTAACGCACATGGAGGGAGGTGCTACATAGGTCTTAAGGGAAGAAACTTGATCCTGTCCCCTTGGTCTACAAATAACCTTGGCGGCCACTCCCACACAGCTCCCCTAATTAACAAGCAGAGGGTCCTGCCCTGTGAGACTTTCCTTACATGGCCCTAGCAATGCTTCAGGTGGTTATTCATCTTCACTGGTACCTCACAGGATAGACAGAGGTTTTTTCCAACTTAAATAGAAAAAGAACAACAACAACAAAATGTTTTGAGCTCCTAGCATCCGTGCAAAGTGATAATGGTCATCCCTTTGTCTCTAGGGTTACCAATCAGAGGGCTATTGCTTTAGGAGTCTCTAGCATCTCCATGCCTCCTGGAGGCTCCAAAGTCATGGCTTCAAAGTCAGGGTTCAAGCTCTTGTCTAATGCCCTTCTTTGGATCAGCGTGACACCCAAGGCCACTTGATAACTTAACCCCTTTAATATGTTAAATGGGATGCTTTCCTCACCTCTGACATCCTCTTTGATCCAGACAGCTGAGATCAAATAAAACATTTTTTCAACTTGAGGCAGAGGAGGAAGGC